GTGGGAGGGGAGGGGAGGGGAGGGGAGGGGCTCAGACCCTGCTGCGGCTAAGCCCTCGCTGGGCCAGGTAGCCCACAGGGTGGTCTCTTTCCCTCAGTCCTCTTGATGTCCCCAGGTGGCTCCAGTAGCACCCCTTCTTTGCCCATGGTGCCCCTGGCTGCTGAGTGGCAGAGCTGGATTTGAACTTGGGTTTGCTGCTCCAAAGTTGGGGGGCCTCTCACTTCTTTCTGACCCCTCCAGGCCTCCCTGCCTCCGTTGGCCACTTTCTCAAGCCTGACCAGCACTGGCTCCCGCAGAGCACCTGCTGGGTGGCCATCACCCATGCTGGCCCTGGCAGGGCAGCGGCCGGCAGACGGATGCCCCTCCACGTAGTGGGCACAAGCACATGCCACAGACCTCCCTCCTGCAGTGGCGCCCCCAACAGGCCCTGGCACCAGCTTCAGCTCCAGGTTCCATCAATGGCTCTATTCTCCTGTGGGGCCCCGGGCTCCTGGGCCTAATCCCCCTTGGCGGCGGCCCCACTTCCCTGCCCGGCTGCCAATGCCTCCTCCTTGCCACTCTCGACCCCCTCTCGCCGACAGCTCGGGCCTGGGCTCGTCCCGCACACCTGGCTGCCTGGCCACTGCCCAGCCTCGCCAGTAGGATCAGCTTTTCTATCTCTGCCATCTCCCCTGGTCACCCTGCCCCTGACATTGGTTTCTATGCATGAGGGGCCTGGGCAGAAGCCAGGCCCAGAACCCAGGGCCAGGTAGGTGGCGGGGACAGAGGTTTGATCCCAGACCACTGACCCCACAGGGAGTCTAGGGGTGTCCTGGGTGAGGCCAGGGCCTGCCCAGCTTCACAAGCCCCTCCACAGTGGATGAGCAGATTGAGGTGGTGCGAGCCAGGCTCCCCCATCCTGTGCCTGACACTGCTCAGGGCAGACAAGCACCCCCCTCTCCCTACAGCCTAAAAACGGGCTAGTTGCAGGCAGGGACCTCCTGGGGCCAGCTCACCCAGAGAAAACAGAACTGCCAAGGACCGGACAGGCCACAAGGGCCCTCATCCTCCTCAGGGCCCAATGGGCTCAGCCCCGTGAGCCCCTCCTTCACAGGAGGCGAGGGACCTCAGAGATGCAAAGCAATTCCCGTGAGGTCACCCAGCACGGCCAGCCTGGAAGCCAGGCAGGTCTGACCAAAGCTCATGCTTCACCCACCACGACTGCCCCAGCGGGGTGGGCTCCAGCCCAGTTCCCCAACCAGCTGGACCCACAGGACTTCCCAGGCCTGGTAGTGACCCCCCAAAAGCACCCCAGCCTCAGATCCAATTCAGCTCATGGTGGTTCTGTCCCTCAGGGGCGGCTGGGGGGGACTCTCATACCCAGCAGTTACGTTCATATTCGGAGCAGCCCAGAGGAGAGCCCATCTGTTCACCCCAAGCACAGATGGGGAAACTGAGGCCCGGGATACGGAGAAACGGATCACATATAAGGATTGCCTTGTGGATCTGGTTTCTCCTAATCCCACGCCGACCCCTGGGATCCCTACCCAACCTCAGAAAGGTGGATGGAGGACCGGGCACGGCGGCTCACAGCTGTAATCCCAGCATTTTAAGAGGCCAAGGTGGGTGGATCATTTGAGGTCAGGAGTTCAAGACCAGCCTGATTGACATGGTGAAATACCACCTCTACTAAAAATACAAAAATTAGCTGGGTGTCGGGACGCACGTCTGTAGTCCCAGCTACTTGGGAAGCTGAGGCAGGAGAGTCACTTGAACCCGGGAGGTGGAGGTTGCAGTGAGCCAAGATCACACCACTGCACTCCAGCCTGGGCAAAAGGGTGAGATTCTGTCTCAAAAAAAAAAAAAAGAAAAGAAAAGAAAAGAAAAGTGGAGAGCAGGACTGCCGGGTCTGGGGGCTGCAGTGGGAAGGGGGTGCTACTGCATCCAGGGTAAGGGACTGGGGTCCAGTACAGGGCCACCCCAGGCCTTGCCACCTGCTCCTGGCCCTCAGGAGCAGGTGGCACACACACACACGTCCTCCCATTTCGGATTCTTTTATTTGTCAAATTATCTATTTTTGAAACGGAGTCTCCTTCTGTCTCCAGGCTGGAGTGCAGTGGCACGATCTCAGCTCACTGGGACCTCTGACTCCCTGGTTCAAGCAATTCTCCTGCCTCGGCCTCCCAAGTAGCTGGGATTACAGGCATGTGCCACCACGCCCAGCTAATTTTTGTGTTTTTAGTAGCGATGAGGTTTCACCATGTTGGCCAGGATGGTCTCCATCTCCAGCCCTTGTGATCTGCCCGCTTCGGCCTCCCAAAGTGCTGGGATTACAGGTGTGAGCCACCGCGCCCGGCCTATTTATTTACTTACTAACTGAAGAGGGATGGAGTCTATGAAGATCTTCGCAGACTGGAGTACAGCAGCACAGTCTCGGCTCACTCCAACCTCTGCCTCCTGCGTTCAAGCTATTCTCCTGCTTGAACAGGGTTTCACTTCATTGGCCAGGGTGGTGTCGAACTCCTGACCTCAGGTGATCTACCCGCCTCAGCCTTCCAAAGTGCTGGGACTACAGACTTCAAGGTGAGCCACCGGGCCCAACCTTGAAGATTCCTAATGAAAGGGGACTACCGGGCCGGGCGCGGTGGCTCAAGCCTGTAATCCCAGCACTTTGGGAGGCCGAGGTGGGCGGATCACGAGGTCAAGAGATCGAGACTATCCTGGCCAACATGGTGAAACCCCGTCTCTACTAAAAATACAAAAACTAGCTGGGCACGGTGGTGTGCGCCTGTAGTCCCAGCTACTCGGGAGGCTGAGGCAGGAGAATTGCTTGAACCCAGGAGGCGGAGGTTGCAGTGAGCCGAGATTGTGCCATTGTGCTCCAGCCTAGCGCCTGGCAACAGAGTGAGACTCTGTCTCAAAAAAAAAAGAAAGGGGACTACCAGCCCTGGCTGGGACCTGCTGAGTCCTGATCTAGGGCTGGGCCAGCCATAAGAGTCTCATAACCCTCTCATCTCAAGGGGGAACCACTGACAAGGCTCAGTGACGCCCTCAGAACCCAGTCACCGAGGGACTTCTGGGCGGAACCTCCTTATGCCGCCCCCATATGCAGTGGTCCTGGCCAAGGGACCCCCAGCTCATGGACCACGCCTGATACAGTGAGTGTGCCCACCATCCTCTATCCCTTCCAAAGTCCTTGCACTGGGAGTGGGCGAGCTGCGACCCCCTGATTATCCCACAGAGGCCAAGGATGGCCCCATGCCAACTGTACCCAGCTGTCATCCACCTGTGGTGTCCCGCCACATCCACCCCTCCAGGAGCCCCCATGCCCTTCAAAAGTCCCCCTTCCTTCTGCTCTGCCACTGCTGCTTCCCTCTGAGCCTCCCACAGTGACCACCACAGTATGAATTCATTCAGTGACTAACACTCATTCACTTATTCATTCAATCACAAAGTTACCAAGTACCTAACAAGGTGCCACATTCACTCACAAATGGTGCCCACAGGATGCTTCATTCATTCATTCATCCATCCATAGTTATGGTGTGCCCACAGGTCCTGGGCTCTGCTGAGTACAGTCTCCCGCTGTCCGGGGTCCCCATCTCAGGGGAGCCAGCCAGGAAACAATTTATCTTCCTCAGATAAGAAGTGAGGGAAGCCCCGGAATGAAGTGAGTGGGGCAGTGAGGGGAAGACCCAGAAGCAAGTTTCAGCCAAGTCCTGCATACTGAGTGGAGCCAGCCACTGAAGAATTTAGGGAGAAGGCTGGGCGAGGTGGCTCATGCCTGTAATCCCAGCACTTTGGGAGGCCAAGGCACGCAGATCACCTGAGGGCAGGAGTTTGAGACCAGCGTGGCCAACACGGTGAAACCCCGTCTCTACTAAAAATACAAAAATTAGGCCGGGCGCGGTGGCTCAAGCCTGTAATCCCAGCACTTTGGGAGGCCGAGGCGGGTGGATCACGAGGTCAAGA